ACACAAACACACACACACATACACGCATACACACAATTTCTGTCAAAACGTACTACAGCTTCAAATATGGAAAAATGTCTGATCTTATCTCCAACAACACGAAATGAGAAGACAATACACCTGACGACCTCATGAATATTAATGAGAACCCTAGACTCATCCCCCGCAGTCTGAATGCAACATCTTGCACAACTGCCACAAAAGTGGGAAATCAAATCAAAGGGGTAAAAAAAAAACAACCCATAACTGTGTCAATGAATGGAAGGGTTGACAATGTGTCTTCTGTTACTGTTCTCTTTTATAATTTAAAACTGTTGTTCGCCCGACAGTTCACGATAAATCATCTATAGATCTAAAACTCTTATTTTGAGAATCATCATATCTATCATTTCTGGTCATCAAAAAAAAGAAGTACTTTGTTCACTAGTTTTGTCCTATTGAATATAATAATTCACATTACTTCATACTCAAAACTGCTAAACCATAACTAGTGTTTGCGACTGTTGAAGCTTTAAAAACAATGCTGACATTGCATTTTTTTCTTGAAGTGAATTATGATCCAAATTTTCTATGACAAAAATGTCAAAAATAATATTAAAGCAGTACAAACGATTTACATGGGCTGCAATTGCGCAGTTGGTCGCAGACCACTAAACGCCAACGTTTGAAATGTTCGTCTTCCTCTTTTCCATTAAAACGTCTCATTGGAAATTCAAACCATGGTCATCCGCTCCGTATCCAAGCATGATACCATCTGAGCAGCAAATGTAATACCATAATACCGTGATAACAATAATTCCAACATTATAAACTAGCTAAAAAAAAACCCACACACATTCAAAAACACAAAACAGGGGTACAAACCCAAGTCCTCTATGGCTGAATCCAGGAAGCCAGAAAATTGACCGTGGTCCAGAGAATGTATTGTCTTACTCAGAGCAACGGCGTTGGCAGCAGCTCCGATGACATACTCCGCTGTGGGAAAAATGGAGGTCAGCTATTGTAAACAGACCGAAAAAAAATGAGTAAAAGGACAGTTCCATTTCATGGTCCCAAGATCTGGAATGCACTGCCTGGGATTTTAAGACATCAAATTATTTAACATCGTGCGTTAAAAATAGTCAGCTCGTCGTTTCTGTTTGTTTTTGGGGCTGTTGATGTTGTTGTTGTTTGGGTTTTTTTACACAAGAGGTAACTAACTAAACACGTAATTAGATTTTTATTCAGCACACAATGTATTGTTCATGTGTGTATACTTGAATCGTCAAAACTGCCCCAGACGGCCACTCATTCAGAGGGGAGAAGAGTGGTTGTGTTAAACAGGTGGACGTCTAGGACAGTATCATACCAATAATATAAAAACCCAAGGGGCTAGTGGCAAGTGGTTGTTTTGACACGTAGATATTTTAGACAGGTGGCCATTAAAGCAGGATCTGCTGCGTTTGTTCATAAGGCACTCAAAAATTGTATTCTTTAATCATGGTTCAGCACAATATAAATTGCATAATATTTATTATGATTAATATTATTATTTCTCTGAACTGAAACCCTAGTATTTAACACATAGCGTGAGAAAATACAGAAAGATGCATTACCTGCAACAGTTAGCTAGACAGATTTTTCTCTGTCAAGGTAGTAAACTAAATTTACAACTTCTGTGTAATCAATTCGTGTCAAAAATGCTGAATAGGTTATGATTTATGGACATGGCCTTTGTAATCCATCTTACCCATTCAAGAGTCACTTGTTATAAAAACAATATACTCACTCTTTCATGGAATAGATATATCTAGATAGATAGATAGACAGATAAGTAGATAGATAGATAGATAGATAGATAGATAGATAGATAGATAGATAGATATAGATAGATAGATAGAATGATAGATACATAGATAGATAGATAGATAGATAGATAGATAGATAGATAGATAGATAGATAGATAGATAGATAGATAGATAGATAGATAGATAATGTTTTGGTTTTCCGAAGTCAAAAATGAACAAATAGATTGATAACTTTTTTGCACTTTAAACAGCGGATTTGATTCGGTAGGTGTGACTTACCTATGACTCCCCAGCCAATGACAAAGGCGGACAGTTCACCGACGGTGATGTAGCTGTACATGTACACAGAGCCCGACGTATATGGGCACAGACCGGCTAGATCAGAGTAGTGGATACCTGGAGAAAAAAGACAAAAAAATAAACAACAGAAGTTCGAGTTGCATTGTGTTTATGGTTTAGGTGTACGGCATGGACACATCGGCCCTATTAACACTGGTGGCGTCAGTAGCCTAGTAGTTTACCAGACTCGTAATCGTGAGATTGCGGGTTCGGGGGCTCGGGCCTCAGCTCGATCTGACGTTGTGTCCTTGGGAAAGGCACTTTACACGAACTTCTCACTTGGCTCGGTCCTATCGGAGACGGACGTTAAACTAGGAGGTCCCGACCCTGAAATAACCTATTAGGGCCGTTAAATCAATACCATTTCACCACTTTACTTTATAAACACTGAACGTTCTTTCAAAACTTTAACACCAAAGTGGCCGCTGAATGTTGTATTCCTTTTGTCCTTTTGGGACCACTAACGAGAATAATCACTTTCTAATCCGTAATACAATATACGCCTCACGGACGATATCGCATCCTTTGATCCTTTACAAAACAAGTGTACTTTAAAACTATGAAACTAGAATTATTCGTAAATCTTAGTGATAGGTATGTCGTTATAGTCAGAACTACCGTTCCGATCTTGCGATCAGCCACAGGAGGGTAGGTTACAAGGGCGTCAACCCCTTCACTGACGGGCCTGAGACTTGCGGAGCAGGTCTGTGAGTAAACGCCCATTCCTGCGTTTCAAAATGAGCACCCCGTATAAGCGACAGTGAGCTGATCTCGCGGAGACGACCTCTGATTTTGGAAAACATTGATCTGCCCTTCACACTCCCAAACTAGTTTTTACAATTTCCTCTGCCACTCGAAACCTGTTGGATTAAAGCAAGAAAAATAAAAGTAAATACCTACCTTCAGGGATGATAGATAAAACAATTAAATGTGCAGAGATAAGGCCAAGGAGGGAAAAACAGCCCAGATGCTTTCATATTATTGCATATGGTTATGTCGCGTCAAGCAGCCAATTGGAATTAAGGTCCTGTGACTAAGCATGGCGTATGTAAATAAATGAACTTGTCCCATAAAAATGAACACTTTGGTTTATTTTTCATGTTACATTTAATGCAGCACAGGAGGGTAGGTTACAAGGGCGTTAATCCCTTCACTGACGGGCCTGAGACTTGCGGAATGGAGCAGGTCTGTGAGTAAACGCCCATTCCTGCGTTTCATAATGGGCGGGGTGCAAATGTTTACGTGCCCTATTATAAAGGTACAGCAGTGGTAGTACCACAGCTAGTGAAGTATTAACAGTATTGCTGTGGGCAACGGGAGGAGTTATTGGGAGGATGGGGATAGACGGTGGGGTGGGTGAGGGGTCGGGGATGGGAAGGGGATTGGCGGAGAGAGCTAGTTGTGGATGGGGGGCTGGAATGTTGGGGTATGGGGAAAGAGAGGAGGGTAGAAGTGAGAAGGGATGTGGGCTTGGGAATAGGAGAGATGAGGGCGCAAGAATGGGAGGGACGAGGGGAGGATTGGGAATGGAATAAATCGGGTGTCCCATTGATCTGCTACTTAAACCGTCACTCAGTGGCACTCATTCTCATAATAGATAGATACAGTTGTTAAGTCCTTGTCTTTAATCTAGATCATTTAAGACGCAGACTGCTTCGGTGCTGCCTGTCAGATTTAAACCTTAGACGGAAATGAGCTTAGTTACTAAAAAACATCACCGCCCCCTTTTTTATCTTCATTAACCCTCCATATTGGGGACCCAAATTCTGCCTCCTCTATACAACGTCGAAAGGCCTACCATGATACCTGAAATACGACATTAAATTACCCTATACTGTTGAGTAGGGTGAACAAAAAGTGGGATTCAACTTAGTCCGAAAAGTTTTAGCTTACGCAACTTACTGATCAACATACCTGTCAAAATGGAACCAATCCCAGCAATGAGCAGAGAGATGATTCCTGCAGGCCCCGCCTTCTCCACGGTGATGATCCCTGCGGTGAGGTACATGCCCGTCCCACAGCAGCTGCCCACGCCTATCGACACCAGGTCCAGCGTTGTCAGACATCGTTTCATCTCGGCCTTGCCCACTTCGCTCGAGCCATCCAAAGAGGATGAAGCCGATGACCGCGCCGGGTCCATGGGCCGTCGCCGGGTCGTTTTCTTTAGGAATTTTGTTGCCATGTTGTTTGCGTTCGATTTGGAGTTTCAAGCCCATTTCAATAATTCTGACATGTTGTGTGTTCCTTGAGTTTCGCCTCTAAACACCAACCTTGGCTCTATGTCATGTGTCTCATCGCGTGGTCACCGAAGACTATTGGTCCAAATTGTTACTGTGAAGAAAAGTAAATCATTTTGGTTCTCAAGGTCTGTCTCAGGAGAAAATTCCCTTGTTTCGTAAAATCGAAATTTAAAAAATATATAGATATGACATTTTGTACACACTTACAAAAACATGCCTTCTATCAAACAAAACAATCGTTAATCCTAATGCACTTTTTATCAGATGTCGCAAGCGGTCAAATGCTGTGACCATGTCCACTTCATCCAGATCTCGAGTCCTTAACGCATTTTGTTTTTAGCATAATAATTTCTTCCTTGTGTTCAAATCGCTCTGAACCTTGAAGATTGACACGCCTGTCATTTACCCCCTCACCAATTTTTCTTACTGTTTCGATATTGGGGCAACTTGTACCCACCACTCTTAGAAAATCATAATGTATTTCTTTGGGTGAATTCTCTAAAAGAACAACCAATTTCAAGACAAAACAAAAATCGTATTTTGAAAACGAGCCTTTATCTTTTCAGTCGCCATGGTGTGAGCAAAGCCAAAACATGAAAACCTTAAAAAGCGTCATAACGACAGTTTCCAGGTTTGGCAATGCGAAGACATCGCTATAGAGATTATGCGTGTGTTGAAATATTGCAAAGTAAAACTCTTAACTATTCGCTTGAAATCTGAGTGAGTTAAAGGGCAGGGAAACGTTCTTAAGTGACAGATTTCGTACGCACAAGTGTACAAGAAAAGAAGTAACACAGTGTCTCCGAGAGACTGGACTGGGTTCTTAGACGAATTACAAGGAAAACAACTCAGCTCTAACCCTTTAGCATCCTGTGTCCATGCTATGTTGTAATGATGATCTGTACGGAATGCTGATGCCTAATAAGAACAAGAGGCTTTCTTTAAAAAGATTAAGATATTTATCTATTCTTTGCATGTCTGGGTGCTTTGTGTTTTTTTTTGGGTGAAAGCTAAAGCCAAACGTGTCAGGTTTCAAAGTGAAAATGCTCGCCTTAGAGATAATGATTTGAAAGTGTATTGCAACTATGACACAGCACAATTCTCAACGTTGTGTGAGTGAAGGGAAACAATAGCCAGAAATGGCCCAGCTTTTATACGACAACCAGACGCTTTGACTGCATGAGGGAAGCATGAGCTTGTACCAACTGAAAACCAATTAGCGATTGATGCGCTTAGCAGGTCACGTTCGCGCATGAAAACCGTTCCGTGAAAGTAATGGAAGTCTTTAGCGTACTGCAGTACGACATGTAATGTTTCGATGTTGCCGTCCGCTGGTCCAACCCTGCTCATCCCAAACCCACGCAAAATGAGGTGAAGCAGTTAAGACAAGTTCATTGCCCTATGCTCAAGCCGCGTTATAGAACAGATTTCTGAATTTTGACGGATTCTTGGGCTTGCAAATTAGAGAGAGAAAAATCCGTTACTCGGGAAAAGCTGGATTATTAAGCGGACCGAGTTCTTACTCGTGTTTATATAAGGCGGAGACCAGTGCATGTATGTGCATATAAATTGGTATGTGGGTGTGTTTGTGTGTGTTTGTGTGTGTGTGTGTGTGTGTGTGTGTGTGTGTGCATGTGTGTGTGTGTGTGTGTGTGTGTGTGTGTGTGTGTGTGTGTGTGTGTGTTTGAGTGTGTAAAATGCAAACATACAGACGAGACTAAGACACACATCAGACAGAAAGGTATTCATGTAAGCCTGTTGGTCTATCTCTGTGATGCTCAAACAAGCTCTTCCTTTCCCTGTCGTTTATCAATACAACCACCCATCACATTAGACATTCTGCAATTGCATTACTTTCTCCTCCACTCCCAAGGATAGGCTTTTGACATCAAATAAAGTGCAGTGTTTCAGATAATTATGATCAATGAATATTCATGAAAACTGTTGGCACCACACTTCATGTGCTGAATATTTATTGTGATTTGCCTAAAAGTTCAATCGAAGAGGACATGGAGAGAGAAAAAAGGGGGGGGGGGTAAGCAGTCTATATTTCCATATTTCGTGTTTGCTCTTCCAGATGCTGTGGCTTCCTACGATAGCCACTACTGTCTCAAGATTGTTGTCCAGATGCAAGAACATTGGTTTGATATTTCACTGCAGACACACACGACCGCGCATGCACGCACACCCGTATTATACACAAACATTTTCAGACACCCTCTCTTCCACACACATATGCACATAAACACATTATAATCATAATATGCTTATATTCATAAATAAACCCACAGCCACACGCATAATGTTTTGATAAATATGAACAAGTATTGCTACCAATTGTAATGTTTAAAATATACACATGACCAGTGTTTTGATAGTACCAAATATGTACTACGATGATATAATGATAATATTGATAAATAATATTTATATAGCGCTCAACCCCGATTAAAGTACTCAAGCTCTTAGCGCTTTACATGACAATACAACAGTAACATAAAACGTTGTGTTCTGACCCATAGAAAATCATTCCAAATATTCAGCGTTCTAATTTAAAAACAGAAATGACTTCAGCTGACATTTGAATGAATCAAAGGATTTGATCTCTCTTAAAGTACTTGGCAAAGCATTCGAGATGTTAGGGCCTTGATATTCAAATGCCCTTTCACCCATTGTTTTAAGTTCCATGGCGAGTTGGACGAACAGTCTCAACAGATTTGATAAATATAATGGCGCATTATCATTCAAGCATAATTTGTGACATGGGGTGGCCAATTCTTTTTTCAAAGGGAAGTCAATGCAATGTAAGTAAAAGAAGTGTTGCAGAGTCTTGCTTTCTTTTCCCTAAAACTAAACGTGCAGTTTTGTGTTGGACAGTTTGAAGTCTTTGAACTTTCTCTAGTGATATTCTGATAGTAAATGATTTTTAAGGTAAACGATATTATTTTCACATTACAAGATAGTAGGAGTTAAATGCGTGGTGGTAAAAATGACCCTCTGTATCTTTCTTGGTCACACAGCAGAAGCACTCAGCTTTTGCTTTTTCTTGATGTTTTATTTTGAGGAACACAGGATTAATTTTTTGGGAGCAAGCGATATTGAATTATTCATCATACGGAATGTAGATGATGTAATTTTGAACGTTTCTAATATCAACCGATAACATTGCATGTATGTTTGTAACGTGTTGCTCGTCAATATAATGAAATCGAAGAAAACAGCCTTTTTTCTTCCCGTTTGGCAATTTTTATCGATTTTTTTTCTGGCCCACATTTTAGGTCCATTAAAAACACAATGCTGTGTGGGTTTTACTGAAACACTTCTATTAAAATCACACAAAAATTTAATTTACAGTTTCCATAGAATCTCAAGCTTTGGAAGTCACCAAACTTGGCAGCCATTTTCACCCCAATTTAACCTTTGAAACGTTGTGATCCCCACCTCCTTCAGTCCAAAACGTTTCGACTACTATGGGAGATAAAGACAAGGGGTAATATTTTTCATCGTAAACACGACAAATAAACAAGCTTTAATGATGATACCAATAACTCAATATGCCCAAAAATTGACGAGCGTATGATTCCACCAACAGTGAAAAATGTATTTATGTGTGTAGACTCTATGTGTGTGGGGGGATAAGGGAAGGAGGGAGGGGGTGGCGCACCGTTAGCTCAGTTGGTGAAAATGATGATATGGTATAAGTTTAACGCCCCTATCAACACAATTAGGTTATTTAAGAGGTGGAACCTCCGAGTTTAACGTCCATCTCCGAAGGGACCGAGGTAAGTGGGAAATTCGTGTAAAGTGCCTTTCCCAAGGACACAGCGTCGGACCGAGCTGAGGCTCGAATCCCCGAACCCACAATCTCAAGATTGCGAGTCCGGTAGCGTAACCACTAGACTAGGCCACCGCTCAGTTGGTGTCAACATCTGAGTCTAAATTTAAAATATCTTTAAAGACACATTAATTTAATGACACCATTTTAATATCAGTAGATTCACGTTCGGTACAATGTTATGTAAAGGACTACGTATCCATTTGTGTATTTTGCGAATTGCTTTGTGTATGTTATTTTATTATGTGTTTGTATGTGTTCATTTCGTAGCGATGTGTAAGCGTGCGGGTGTGATAAGCAAGCAGATGTGTGTGTGT